ATATTTTGGCTTCGGGTTACACAAGTCAGTCAGACACACTTTGAAATCCACATCATGACTGGCCTGTGTTGTGTTGCCATTGCAGCTGGTTGGGGGTTTAATTCAGGTCGAACAGAGACCACCTGCACCGCGGTTTCCCCACACTGCTCCCCCTTTCACAGTTTCACACTTCGGAGTCGAACCCGTGCCTTGGCTTTCTCGTTTCCCAAGCTCCCTTGTGCCCAGCGGCTGCAGGACATGTTGGCACTGCTGTGTGGCTGTCTGGGCTGAGGGGTGGTGTGCTGGCTGTAAGGGTGACCCCGAGAAACGAGACCCTCAGGAGCAGCTGAGGGGGGTCAGGATGGGGTCAGGGTGCCTGACTTCTCAGCTCTGGAGAGAAACTAGAAACTGAATCAGAGGAAGGGCTGAATCAGTGTGTCAGTGTCATGAAACGGTGTTGAAGCATGAAGCACAAATCGACAAAACTGAATTTCAGCTCGGATTGTATGCTTTTTTTTACTGTGATGCTTTATGAATTTTGCTTCAGAGGACGTCCTGATATATTTTTCAAGTGTTTAGGAGAGTTTTCAGACTGTGGGGCTTCATATGGGTGGTAGAAAATTAGAAAATGAACCTTTGGGGGGAAAATACAGAGGTCTTAGGCGATGACATGGATCCAGCCCCTACATAAAAGACCCGGTGTTGTGTCCTCGTTAAGCCACATCAGGAACAGGGCACACACCTGTGGGCTCCCTTGAAGGTTCAAGAAGACGCATTACCGGACGGAATGGAGGTGCTTTTTAGTTTTGGTAAATGACAGTGGAAGCGAGTCAAACCCACATTCTGTTTATTGAGCAGGACCCGAGCGCATCTCTTGCCAGATCTTGACCTTCTCATAAACTGACTGTATGGAATAGTTTCCCAAGACCCCTTGCAGAGGCGGAGAGGCTGCGAACCCCGTCTGTGTGAGAAACTTGCTGGCGCTCAGGAGGATAACAAGCTTTGGCCCCATGGCTGTTTGACATGCTAAAAAAATTTGCTGATCTCGCCTGCCTGCGTTACTGTTTTGGTTTTGCTTGTTTTGGCCGGGGGGCCGGCCCCTTCCTTTTCCCGGCGGTTGGGGGGCGGTTTTTCCCCGGGCCCCAGGCTTGCCTTGGGCCCACCGGCGGGGCTTTTTTCCCTTTTTGACCTTTTTCCCCCCCCGGGTTTTTCCTTTTGTTGCCTTTTCGGGGCTTTTGGGCCATTCTTGTTTTCTTGGGGGGTTGTTCCGGGGGTGCCGGGGGTTGGGGGGGTTTCCTTTTGAAGAGGGTCTTGGAGCTCGGCCCATCCGTGGGAGAGAGCGCGGAGCCCGAGTGCTTGTCCGCGGTCGTCTCTGGAAAAAGTGACGTTGCGGTGTTGGCAGGGCTCCTGGCCGGCCCGAGAAGGGAACAGGGAAAACAAGCAGAGGAACCTCTCTGCGTTGACTCATTTCTCCCGGCTGGGCGTGGTGCCCCCGATCCCGCTCCGATATCGCTGGCCTGCGGAGCGGCCTGGCCCGCAGCCACTGTTGTGTCCTCCCCGGCTGCAGAAGCCATTAGCCGCATGTGGGAAGGGGGGGTGTGCCGAGCCCTAATGGCCCCCCGGGGAAGCCGGCCCCCCAGTCCGCCGCTGGAGCAGCACCATTGTTCTCTCAGGAGGTGGGCTGCTGTGGGGAAGGAGCCGAGCTCGAGTGAGGTGTCGAAGCGCCGGGGGTGCGGAGCGAGGCTTCGGGTTGGAATGCAGAGGTCAAAGGTCGGGCACAGCCGCACCTTTCTGTCCAATCCACAGCAATCCTGCGGTGTGTCCAGCACACTTCTTTCAGACAGTTGACTGGTTATTAATTTGTAGAAGTACATTTTGTCAGCAGGTGCCTCCTTAATAACTTGTAGTAGGTCTGTTTCTGCGTGGCTCCTTATCGCGCTGTTGATAGTCATGACCCGGCGTCCTGGCCAAATTTCCCATTGGCCCTTACCAATCATGGCCTCCTAGTAATCCCCATCTATGGATACCCAGCACTCATTTAAATAGAATGCACATTTAAGTAGAATGCAAAAAAAAAAGACAAACATTGCACATTATACTATTACAAAAAATAAAAACATTGCAGATCATTCGATTGCACGTGGACGGTATAACACATAACAACATGTAACATTTATAACACATCACAAAACATGTTGAACTTGAGTGGGTTGTAAGAGTCAAAATTGAGTTTATCCTTGACATTTGCGTTCACAGCTTTAATGGAGAGTGGAACACAGGAATGGTTGTACCTGCTTGACTTACATTTGGGAACCCTAAAATGTTTCCCAGGAGGAAGAAGTTGAGATTCAGAGTTGAGGATGTGGGAAGGATCTGAAATACTTTTTCCTGCCTGTTTGATTAGGGATTTTTCAAAGTGAGCGTTCTGGCGCACTATGGCTGCCGTTGCATCATGCAGCTGCACACTGGTGGAGGTGGAGGGGATCCCCATTACCTGTAAAGCGCTTTCAGTGGAGTGTCCAGAAAAGCACTATATAAGTGTAAGGAATTATGATGATGATGATGATGATGATGACGGCCCTTCTCTCAGAGTGCATCTTGGGCTTACAGCGGGCTCGGTGTCGCCCCCTGGTGCCGTGGAGTGAAAATGATCTGTGCCAGTGCTCTGGCTCGGACCCAGCCGGCACGGGTCCCGTTTCCACACGGATTTGTGGAGCAGCAGAAAGGATTTAGCAAGAACAAGTGCGTGTCCCTCTTGCTTTCCTCTGGCACGGCGGGGGGGGCTGGGTGCTGTGTGCGAGAGGAGAGTGAGAAGAAAGAAAGTGAGATCACAAAAATCACACTCCAGGCGTTTTGCCACACTGCAAGGCTTCAGTCTCTCTCATTTGCAAAATGATGTAAGTAGGAAAATTATCTGCTTTTCCCTTTTCTTCTCTGTCACTAGATGCTTACCTTGAACTTGTGCTTTAACAGTCAAGTTAACCAGTTGTGATTTTTGTTGTGCAGGAAAAGGCGTTCAAGCCTGGCTGGTCATTGTGTGTCCTGAGGTGCCTGAGCTCAGCTCACCAAGCCCCACTGTAAACAGCTTTGTTAACCATGTTCAGCTTTTACAGCAGTGCTGTTCCTGAAGAAAGCTGGAAGAGTCGTCATTTCTTTTTTTTCTGTTCAGGACCCAGAGCGCAGAGAAGTTTTGCCTGTTGCTGGTTGTGAAGTTTTGCCCCTCGGGCAGGGCAAGAGAGCACCAAACAATGCACACGCGCTCCGAGCAATACAGTAGGGCCTGTATATGCTCAGCACTGTTAGAACTTGAATCAAGACTGTGTTTGCAGTACAGGACAACCCTAAGTGCCACCCGGGAGAAATGACCCTTGACTGATGTCAAGGGCACGACCTTTTACACCAGGAGGAGGGAGAAAATGTCTGACTGCCTCTTAGAAGAGTGCAAGAAGCCTGATCATGGTTTATTAAAGTCCTGAAGGTGCCAAGCAACAACTTTTCTTTCTATCGTTCTGTCTTTTATGAAGAGCTCAGGAGCAGTCTGCTGACTGTGGATGAGTGTGAAGTTTGCCCACCTGTTATCTCTCTAGGCAAGCAAGCCCTGGGAGAAGGAGGAGGAGGAGGAGAAGGAGAGGGTTAGGACTGGTTGAGTATAGTGAGTGAGCTGATCGATTGGAGAGATTTCTCTCTCTCGCCCTCTGCCCTGCGTGCGGGGAGGGTGGTGTTCAGCTGGCAGTCATGTGACCGAGCCTGGTGTGTTTGCCCTGCGCCAACGGTCGCAGGTGCTGCTGTGTGCTCAGACACTCTCAACTCTCTCTCGCGTGTGTGCTGGGGGCGCCTACTCCTTCGAGGCCTAATTAACTGACAGTGGAGTGAGTGAGGAATCTGTCAGCTTAGTGAGGAAGGGGAAGGAACTGGGCCTCCCTGAAGACCAGTTATCACCCCTCTGCCACCCTGGAGCCGGACAGGCCGGGGGGGAAGCAGGTGGCATGTTGACGCCAGCCAGCAGCACCCGCTTCAGGACTTCAGGAAGGCACAGGACTAACCGTTAAAAGGGACATGACTTAAAGAAGGGCCAAACGTTTAATTTGTTTGCGAGGCATTTCGCAGCTTTTCAGTAATATAAAAAAATACCATCAAAAAAAGCAATTGCACCATTTCCTGTGTTAAAACAGGCCATTGCTGCACACGGGAGCAGGCGAGGGAGGGAGAGTTACTGGTGCCCGAGAGGGACAAGCACAGCTGCAGCAGTCGCTCTCCCGGTCGATCAAGGGTTAAGTCTCCAGCTGCTGAGCCAGCTTGTTTCTTCAATTATGAGTCTCTTGTCCCTAGGGGGCGCCCTCTCCCCCCCCCCCCTTTCCTGGGAGCCAGAGAGTCCCATGTCAATAACAACAACAACAGCAGCTCCAGCTGCACTGTATAACCCAGGGCGTTCGATCCCTCCTCCAATTCCCCGCTCCTCGCTGAGCTGAGAGCCCCAGACTCCAGCTCGCTGCTGTGCGCAGGGAGACAGCGACACCCGTCCGGCATGGATCTTAGTGGGTTCCGCGATCTGATGCGCAGAACGCAAACTACCATCCTAGAAAATGGATTAATTGCAGCTAGAAGCTTGGAAGATGATGAGGTCGGCTCTGGTTTTCCGGGGGGCTGGTGGGGTAGGGCAGGGAGAGTTTTCCAGTGTCTTTGCAGAGGTTTGCTGCGTTATGGACTGAGGGGGACGTCTCTGTGGCCCTGGCACAGAGTACCAGCCTCACCTGTGCCCCTTGTCTGGGCGCTTGTCCTGCACAGTGTGGGTGGCTGACAGATATTTGCTGCGCGTCCACACAGGTTCTGAACAGGATGCTCTGACAATACAGGGACGTTTGTGAACTCTACACACTGTGCAATAAATAACTGCAACATGCTTTTTTCTAGTTCCATACTTTTTTTTGATATAGCGGACCTCCTTTTTTTGTTTTGTGGTTTCACCCCTACAGATGTATCGATTTTTTTTTAACCTCCTGCTGCTCTGTCCCTCCGTGCAGGCGGTGGGGAGTGACGGTGTGCGGGTCATGATGGAGAGCGCTCTGACCGCACGGGACCGCGTGGGCGTCCAGGACTTCGTCCTCCTGGAGAACTACACCAGCGAGGCGGCCTTCATCGAGAACCTGCGCAAGAGATTCAAGGAGAACCTCATCTATGTAAGGCAACCTGCGTGTCAACACCAAGCACAAACTCGAGACGGCACAAACACAGCAGAAGGAAGCTTGTGCCTAGCACACAAGCTGAACCCAAATGTTGATGCATACTACAAGTGTAGAAGTCATAGAGCAAAATATCTGACTAGATTTTTGAGTCACTGCTGTGCATGTCAATCATTCTGATCTAATTACCGCACTGTATTTTCACAGACGTACATCGGGTCGGTTCTGGTGTCGGTGAACCCGTACAAGGACCTGGAGATCTACACCAAGCAGCACATGGAGAGATACCGAGGGGTCAACTTCTATGAAGTCTCGCCTCACATGTGAGTGTCCATCCCATTCCCCAGCTCGGGCGAGATATTGGAGATGCAGCACTTGCACTGTGATGTCAGTCTAGCTGAGCGCTGTCGGCTGAAACACGGCATCGCAGATGGAGAACATTGTGCGTCTGTGGGAGTGCAAGCAGGGCATTGCAGAGCCACTCGTAAAGGTTAATTCCGCGCTGACAAGAAGAAATAACATTCCAGCTGTTGAACCTCTTTCAGGTGGCATTGTGAACATTGTTTCTTTTGCTACTCTTCAATGGGGGGGATTCATCTGTACATGTACCTGTTGTGCCCCCGGAGTTCAGCGGGCAGCAGTGCTGGGCTGGGACACTGTCTCGGGGGGGCGGGTAGCAGGAGGGACTTCTCAGGCACGGCAGGCAGAGGGCGAGAGAGGCTCCTGGCCAGGCTGACTCCTTCCTGCCCACTGTGCCGCACCTCTCTGCCGTGTTTGTCTGCTGTTTGAACGGTTGCTAGGAGACCAAGATTCCCTGCGAACAAGGAGCGCATTATGCTGCGATGAGCGAGAAATCCTGAGCAGTTTCCTCTCGCTGTCCCCCATGTTTTCTGTCAAAAAGAGCCATGTGCTTAGGCTGAGGATTGTGGGGGGGTTCAGGGAGGGAGAGTCTCTATAAATTTCACCATGCAAGAATATCTTGTGGTCTTGGGAGATGCATCTGACCCACCTTCTGGCAGCAATCGGTGTGACACAGCCACCTGGGTACCAGGCTGGATATACGTTGGGGGTCCCTGCATATTCGCTGTGTGATCTGTGCACCAGTGGAGGGCCAATGCGAGCAGTATGTCATTCAGCGCTTTGCACACTGGGGCTGACGGACAGCGCTGCAAGCACAAAGTGCCCAGCAGGGGTGCTGTTTAAGTTAAGATCACTTTATTAGCCCTATACAAGTTCTTGCATTGGGATTTTGTCTTTTCACATACCCCAGCTTGCTCTCCATGAGACAAACAGATAGGGAGAGAGAAGCTTGGGGTCAGAGCGCAGGGTCAGCCATTTATACCTGGGGTTAAGGGCCTTGCTCAGGGGCCCAACAGAGTAGGATTCCTCTGCCGGCTGCAGGATTTGAACCAGCAGCCTTCCAGCCACAGGCGTAGATCCTTAGTCACAGAGCCACCGCTCTGGCCCAGTGGCTCTGTGGCTATGGACCTGTGCCTGTGGTGGAAGGTGGAAGATCTGGAAGATCAAGGTTCGGTGGAAGATCGGGTTACCCTGCCAGACCCAGCTGCCGGTACCGCTGCAACCCTCGGCTTTCTCCACACAGCTACGCCGTGTCCGACAACGCGTACCGCGCCATGCGGACGGAGCGCCGGGACCAGTGCATCCTGATCTCGGGCGAGAGCGGGGCAGGCAAGACGGAGGCGTCCAAGAAGATCCTGCAGTACTACGCGCTCACCTGCCCCGCCAGCGACAAGGTGGAGATGGTGAAGGACAGGCTGCTGCAGTCCAACCCCGTCCTGGAGGTGAGTGACCCCCGACTGGCCTTGAGTCTCCCAGAGGTGGTTCCGGTGCAGACTTTGCTCCTGCAGAGCCTGCAACTTGGGTTAGAGATGTACCAAGTGGCAAAGAAAGCTGACCGTCCACTCAGACTTCCTTCACAGAGTATTTTTTTTTACTATTCTGCCAAAAAGAACAAAGGAATCGTTTAAACTTAAAAATATATAATAACCACCTGCAGATTTGCTTCTGGCCTCTCAGCTGTGTGGTCTCGGCTTGGTCATCAGCCTGCCTGGTGTGGTTTGGGGTGTCTGTCCTGCTTGTCTACTGTCTGCTTCCTGTGTGTTTTTGGCTCCAGTAAAACTGAAAAGGAAACAGCTGGTTCTCCAGGTGGTTAATGTGCTTCGGTTTTGGGAAGCTCACATATGCGGCCCAGATATACTAACCAGGCAGATCATTCAAAGTGAGATAAATAGGCACCATTCATGGAGAGAGATGCGTGTTTAACATTTTGCTAAATGTCTCCTCTCTTTTTTTTTTACAGGCATTTGGAAATGCCAAAACCCTTCGGAATGACAACTCCAGCAGATTTGGAAAATATATGGATATTCAGTTTGATTTCAAGGTACCTCTTTCTCTCCCCTCCCATTCCCCTTCTCCCCGCTGGATGACGCCGCCCTCGCCTACACGTCTGTCTGTGTGTTTCCCCGCAGGGGGCTCCGGTGGGGGGGCACATCCTGAACTACCTGCTGGAGAAGTCCCGGGTGGTCCACCAGAATCATGGCGAGCGGAACTTCCACATCTTCTACCAGCTGATCGAGGGGGGGGAGGAGGACCTGCTGCGCCGGCTGGGCCTGGAGAGGAACGCCCAGCAGTACCAGTACCTGGTCAAGGTGAGGCTCGGTCTGGCCACCTCCTTCAGAACCCAGCAAGCCAGCCCCTTGGCCATTAGGTCACAGTGCGGGTCTTCTCTTTGACCAGCTGTGAGACATAATCAAGCTGGATGGGCCACATGGCCCCCTCTCGTCTGTGTTATCTTGTATTCCACCTGGAGTTTCCTGGACTGAGCTCTTACAGTATGTGCAGTACTCATGGTGGGTTTGCCTCAGAAATGCCTAGTAACTGGCAGTAAACAAGCCGCCCAGTATCCCATTGATCTCAACAGAGTTGTTGTGAAGGCTGTAGATATTTAGCGTGCCCACGTTTTAACTTGTATCCAAAGCCTCATGTCTGTTTTTAAGAGGCCTACTTTGAAATAATAAAATACATTATGCCGTACTTATTCATTTTGGTTGAAACTCTTATTGGAAAACAATCGGAATCGATATGTGTTGATAGAAGATATCACCCATTCTGTAACCAGCCTAATCTTTGCTGATCTCTAATCTGGGACTTTTCCCAGCTCCCATATGAACCCAAACTCCAACCCTAGAGACATAAAAGGCTGCCCTGTACAGAAGAGGGGTTTGCTACTAAACGGGACCGAGTATGAATTTTTATATCTTCCTGTTCAACTTGGTCAGTCGGTGTGAGTTCCAGCCGGGTCTCTCATTGGTCTGCTCTGGCAGTATTTCCAGCCCTGAGGCGATGGGACTGTTCTCCTGGGGCCTGAAGCTTATGGCTCACTTCACTGATAAGGCCTGCAATCACCTGCAGACACGTACAATGGAGGCTTGGAATTCCAAGACCTGCCATCATAGCAACAGCTGAAGATTTCACTCAGGAATTCAACAGAATTTCAAGTTTTTTCACCCTTCTTACGTGCGTGAAAGAAAGTTTATTTAAAACAATGGAGATATTGAAGAGCTGGACCCTGCGACTCTTCCTGTCGGTTGTACCCCCAGAGAGAGTGGAGACATGCCCTTTTGGAAAGATATCGTGGCACGTGTAGTGCCTTTACATTTTGCACGGGAGTTTCTTTTTGTACTTTGGCACAGTTGGCGTACCTGTCTGTGCCTTCCCATGATTCCAGGGTGGTTTATTGTGTCCTTGCACTGCTCAGCTGCATGAGGCCCATCTGAGGCTGGTTAGGTGTCCATCAGTTTGTCCTTTCCCAGGGGGCCTGTGCTGTTCTCTAAGGCTCTGTGAGCGGGCGGCTGTTCCCGAGCTCCAGTGCAGTGCAGGCTGGGCTGCACCCCCTCTCTGCCCAGAACAGAAATTCAGAAACGGACTAAACCCACCATTTTCCAGGCCAGCATCTCACTTCACAGCCGGATTCACCCTGGTTTCTCCTGACTTCAAGACCGACATGTAGGGAGTTTTTACTTTAAACAATCGAGGCTTGTTATGGGAACGTCTCACAGAAGGAGAGGAGGCAGTAGTCTTGATGTGAAGAAGGTACCTTATTTTGAATTAAATTAAAATAAATATAAATGGTCACAGAGTTCATTCAGGTTTTAACAGGTTCATTGAACTGTTCCACCACAAAATTCTTCAGCTGGATCCTAGTCTGGCAGCTCTACAACTTTGTCCCTCAATTTTATTTTACATTTTATTTTATTTATTTCACTTAATAAGGTGACAGAACTAGTAATTAAATAAGAGTTATGTTACGCATTCGCTGCTAGCCTGCTGCGGTTCATCTTCAGATTAAAGCCCACTGACCTTTGCTACTGTGGCATCGTGTTTTGCAGGGAAACTGTCCCAAGGTGAGCTCCATCAACGACAAGAACGACTGGAAGCTGGTGCGCAAGGCCCTGTCCGTCATCGGCTTCGGTGAAGACGAGGTGGAGGTGAGAGTGCCCGTTTGTCACGGCTCCTCTCCTGGAGACGCACTGTGCTCTCCGCTCACTGGCCTTGCCGATCGGAGTGTTTCACGCTATGGACCTGGTGCAAGCATAAGAAGGGGGGGCGTGTCTTACAGCGTTGTTCCTAAATCACTGTTCCTAAATGTGGTTTAGTACTACACATATGAGTGTTACAAATCTGGTACTGTGCGAGGTGTAGGTTTGAGCTCTCTTTGAAAGTTTTGCTGCTGCTTCAAAGGCTTTGCAGGTGGAAAGCCACAGGCTGCACGCAAAGCAGAGAATTCAGCGTGACGTTTCTAGACCCAGATCCCTGCCTGCTGCGCCACTGCGTCTCTGTATGAGATCAGTGCAGACCCATCCAGTAAGGGTATACAAGGCAGACAGGCAGCCTGGCTGGTGATCTGTCTGTGGTAACATGTGTAATTTATTAATAGGCTCTAGGCCAACTGTGGGTATGTCTCTATCTAGTCTGTTCGAAGAGAAGAACATGAGAATGGAGGAATACGGGGTTCAAGCAGTGGATTATTACATGTAGCTTGAAAGCATGAAAGTGAGCAGCTTTAGCAGACTGATTTGGGTCATTCTTTCAATCCGCAGTATGGTGCTCTGAATGACATCTGTAGGATCAGATCAGTGGTGGAGTAGCTGGATTGTAAGGGACAGGCAGTGAAGTTGGAATGTCGCGTGCATGTAGGAGCCCTACCTCACTGAGCCCCTCTTCCACAGGAGCTGCTCAACATCATCGCCAGCGTGCTGCACCTGGGCAACGTGCAGTTCGGAGGGGAGGAGGGCGGCAATGCCTTCATCACCACAGAAACACCTTTCCGATACCTGGCCAGGGTACGTATCTGGGGGACCACCACTGCGTCAGTAATGAGCAGTATTGCCAAGTGTAAAACAACACTGAGCAAGTGAAAGTCTTGAGTGTTCTCTCTTTAATCTCGCATCCTTTAAGGCAAGGGCAGCAGTAAGATGTTTGCTGGTTGGTATGAGCTGTGCGCCAGGCGTTTCATCCAGTTGTTCCAGAAAATGTCGGCAGTGCTTTTGCATATAAGAATGTTTTGCTCACTTAGACATGACTGATCACGACTGAGCCAGGGTTACTCTGTCGCAAAGCCCCTTTCCCAGTGTCTGGTGTCTGACCTGTCCCCCCCCTCCCCCCCCCCTGCAGCTGCTGGGAGTGGAGGGCTGTGCTCTGAAGGAGGCTCTGACCCACAAGAAGATCACTGCCAAAGGGGAGGAGGTAGGCTTGCAGACTTCAAAGCTGAGTCTCGTCTTCCTGTTGGGGTTTTGGGTTATAAACTCAGAGGTTTCCCCAGTTCGTCGGCTTAGAGTGACCCGTTCTGCCATCTGTTAGTGATTGAGAGTTCTTGTTGTCTGTATTTGAATCGAGCCCATTGTGAATGTCTCCAGTGAGAATTAAAATTGTAGAACAAGGTTCTGTTCTTTGTAAAACCTCCATTTAAATGTCCCTTTAATTTTCCATGGAGGTTTCCCTGCTGACCTACAGCGTGACTCAAACCGGATATTTTCTCTTGTGACCCTCTCTCTGTGCAGCTGATGAGCCCTCTGAATCTGGAGCAGGCTGCTTATGCGCGGGACGCCCTGTCCAAGGCTATCTATGGCAGGACCTTCTCCTGGCTGGTCAATAAGATCAACGAGTCCCTGGCCTACAAGGTAAACCCACCCATCCCAATCCCTCCTGGCCACACGACAACAGGGGGACTCCGTGCCCTTACGGCAGGCCCTGTGTGGCTCCCCTGAACGTGACTGGAGACAGGCCATCCCTTCCCACGGTGCTAAGTAGTCTGAGGATCTCGATCACCTACTTCTTGAAGGATCTCCTGGAAGCAACCTCAACAGCGATGCTTTGTGTAAAGGAACACCTTCTGATTTCGGTCCTACGTGCACACGGTCTTCAGATAGAAAATGCAGGGAGGTAATTAATAGAACACTGGCAGGGGCAGATGTCAGCTCCTTGCCTACAGCTCAACAACTTGTCACGGAAAGAAGGGGGCCAGTTTTCTGCTGTCCACTTGCTGTCTCCTGTATTTCAGGAGTAGTACATGTTGCCCATAGTTTCGGACAGAACTGCGTTTGTGCGACACGGCAGCAGGCACCCATGATAGGGAGTATATCGGCACCTATCTGCAGTAAGAGCTACAGGGGGTTCAGCGGTTACTGTGATACCATATATACGTTCCTTTTGATTTCCCTTGATTGAGTTTGATCCGATATTCATAGGTTGATTCGCTCTCTGTTGAGTAAGAATTTGTTTCTTATACGATGCAGTACAGTCATGTCTGTTTCACATGTCTCAGTGGTAGGGTCTGGCTTGTGTAGGACTGACTATGTTCTTCCCTCTTGCTCTGTCTTTTCTTGGCAGGACCCAGTGTACCCAGGCAGTAAGAGCGCGGCTGTCATTGGGCTTTTGGATATTTACGGGTTTGAAGTCTTCCAGAACAACAGGTAACAGCTCCTTGCCTGTTCTAGAGACACCGGCTCCTTCTGCTTTGCGGGTTTGTGGTTCAAGGTACTGCTTCAGACACGTACACAGTTTACAATGAAGAAAAGAAAGGTCTGAGCCGTTAATGATTGGCTAGTAGAGTTATCGATTATGAAACTCAAAACACCAGATGAATAAGCTTTACACAGCGGATATAGAACAGCTTCTGCCGATTAAGAAATGTCTTGTGTGCGGTTAAACCATTTCAGGGTTAGGTAATAATGGGCATTGAGCTGCTTAATGCTAACAATTAGTCATATTTAATCCTTTGATTCACACTTCCTAGTGAGTGTACTGTGGCACACGTGCTTGGCTTTGTTTCACCTTGTTTGGCACATTGACAATGGTTTCTCAGGGTCTGTAACGGGCACTACCCTGTCTGTGCTGTACCTCGCCTTCACTGTGCTCGGCTACAGATTAGCCGGCTCTGACTGTGGTAGGAAGGATGTGACCGTCCTTTGCACCTGAGCGCAGGCCCAGGTGACGTGCTGTGTGTCCCCGCAGCTTCGAGCAGTTCTGCATCAACTACTGCAACGAGAAGCTGCAGCAGCTCTTCATCGAGCTGACGCTGAAGTCGGAGCAGGAGGAGTACGAGTCTGAGGGCATCACGGTAATCCTGCCACCAGCCGGCCTCTCCCCTAATCCCCCCCTCCCCAGATCCCAGCCGTTTCCTCTGCAGCGCAAACTCATTCTGCTGTCCGGCGGTCAGGGAGGGCAGATCTGCTGTTTCTGGGCGACTGGAAACTGAACAGTGCTAACAGACCAGCTGGGACAGGAGCTTACATTTCCATAAAACATCTTGTTTGTTATGTTTGTGGCATCATCCTATAAGGAGTTATAGCTATGGGGATTTTCAGAATTTATTGTAATTTTCAACATTTGAAGTGATGCTTTTACCATAAGCACTGCTGCTACTCGGAATGGTGTTTGAGAAGAGGCTGGTATTTGTGTGTCCTGTGGTTCCAGTGATTGACGCTGCTGTGTGTGTTGCAGTGGGAGCCTGTGCAGTACTTCAACAACAAGATCATTTGTGACTTAGTGGAGGAGAAGTTTAAAGGCATCATCTCTGTGCTGGTGAGTCTGCAGGCCTCCCCTCCACCTCCTGTGCCTTTCTGGGGCTCCACACCTCAGTCGCTGTTCCTCTAGCTGTAAAGACAAATGTCAAACGTCACAGGAAGGCCTTGGGAAGAGAAAGAAAGACCAGGATCAGGAGTGGTAGTTAAAATCCCTAGACCCCCTTTATTTACAGAGCCTAGAGTTTGGTTGGGATTTATATGAAACTTCGGGTTTCTGCTATAGATTCCCATTTTCTGCTACCCAAAATAACTATCCTAAAAGCCCAAGCGAAGTATTTTATAACCCGGTGCTCCTGACCTTCAGTTTTCATGGGAAAGACTCAGTCACATAATTGTATTGCTAATTGTCACCTAAATGGAGCTGTGAAGCACCAGCCTGCTGTATTGGTGCAGTTACTGATGTTCCTCCTTGCCTCTCTCCCTCACACCCCTCAGGATGAAGAGTGCCTGCGCCCCGGCGACGCGAGTGACATCACTTTCCTCGAGAAGCTGGAGGATACGCTGGGAGGACACGCCCACTTCGTCACGTGAGTCCAGCCCCCAGGAGACCTCAGCCAATAAGGAGGCTTCCGCCTTTTCTGTAGGAAACCCACAGTGACCGTGTCTTGGTCCTCGTCTCACTCAACAGGACAGCGTGCCCACTCCGTTTACTGCTGAGTATCTTTCATTCCTTCACGTCCCATGCGGATAATTGCTCCCAGCATGTTGGAGATCAGAAAAATTCAAAAGGTTCTGTTTGCTCCGCTCCAGCTGAGCAGGAAGCTGAAAGATTAGTCTGTAGTAGTTAAGAGCAAGCAAGACATCCTGTCAGCGCTGAGTCACTGAAGGCCCTCACGCCCCTGAGTGCCTGGGTCCGTGATCCCCTGTTTGGTGTCCAGTGTGGTGACGCGAGACGCCTGCCTGTTTCAGACACAAGCTGGCTGATGGGAAGACGCGCAAGGTGATGGGCCGTGAGGAGTTCCGCCTGCTGCACTACGCTGGGGAGGTGAACTACAACGTCAACGGTGAGGGGGGGGGGGGCGAGTGGCTGGGCTGGGGGTCTTTTCGGAGGATTTGGAATATTCTACTCGCTGCTGTTTGACCAAACCAAACCAGCCCAAATCGTTCATTTTCATGTGCTGTGTTTCTGTCTCCGCGGTGGGTGGAGCAGTTCAGACTCAAGCACGGCAGTCCTGGCAGAGCTGCTTGTTGAGATGTGATTGTCTTGTCTGTTTTCCAGGGTTCCTGGACAAGAACAATGATCTACTCTTCAGGAGCCTCAAGGAGGTGAGTCCGGTGTCTGCCGAAAACAGGAAGCCAAGGTCTGTCGTGTTTGTTTGTGTAACGAGATCATGCAGCGCTGTTGTGAGATCCCAGGCAGAGATTATCTTCTCCTGCAGGCACTGTAGTCATAGTTTCACGGGGCCGTGGCCCCCCGTTACTCCTGGTCTCCCCATGGGAAAGTTTTTGTTTTAAAGGAATGTAGCACGACAAAGCGCCCACTGTCTCCCTGCTGGGAAGCTTGGGGGGGGTGTGGATATGCATGCCTGTTGCGATAGAGGTCTTCCAATGGACATGTTAGATCTGAGATCCGCATATCGCCCCGCAGGAGACTGAGAGATATGCTTTTCTGAAATGAAGCTTAATGACAAGGAATGGAACAGCCAGATAGTGCTTCATTTTGTTTAGCCATTTGTAGCAGAAAAAAGAAATGGGGTTAAACTGATGTCTTTCTAATAAAGGTTAGTATTGAAACATCTTCCAGTCTCCTGTTATGCCCCAACACTGTCCTTAAGGATATCAGAGAGGCACCTTCTCTGAGCTCTTTCAAATCTACTAAAAACCTTCTTCTTTAGAAGAGCCTCCACTTTCCCGGAGCTGTTACTTACCCCTTTGCTCCTACGGTATTCTGTACCCCCGTCTACTTTCTCCTCTCATTGTGTATTTTTTTGTGTGGTTCTGTAAAGTGCTTTGAGAAGCCACTTTTAAAAGTGCTATACTGTATAAAATAATATTACAGTACATTATAAGAAAGGAAGGTTGCGATTTAAGTATGAGTGTTTGTATCCCACAGAGCACCTGCACTGTTCCAGCATGATGTTTTATAGCGGAATCCTTTGATGTAAAAAAAAAAAACGACAGCAAGGTAGAGAAGAGTAGATAATATACTGCCGACAGGTCAGGAAACGCAGCTCGGCAGGAGCCAGCGGCAGGCAGGGGCTTGGTCCAAGATCCTGATGTAGGTTTTACTGGGAATCAGACACAGGTGTTTCGAGTTGGCGGCACGAGTTTTACCCATCAGTCTCAGGGATTTACTGCTGGTCTCTCTGGGCTTCACTCTGGTGATTTGAGCTGTCAAGAGAAGCATGGAGCCGCAGTGAAACTGTAAGGAGAAAGCAGAATTGTTTTTTCCTGAGCGGATGAAGAACATTCCAGAGGTAGACGTTTGGGATTCGGGGTGTACAGCAGCGGTCAGGGGGCGGTTGTGTAGGTGGTCTGCCCCTGTCTGACGAGCTGCCCGTCCTGCAGGTGATGTGCCAGTCGGAGAACTCCATCATCACCCGCTGCTTCGACAGGGAGGAGCTGAGCGACAAGAAGCGCCCCGAGACGGTGAGACCCCCCTCCCTGGGACACAACTGCTTCCTCACGTCACAGTGTGCTGGAGCATGAGGGGCGTCGTCCACAGGAGGGCGCTTTGGTCATAGTTCAAGTTTATGGGCATTATACTCATACACGGGTATATAGTATAACAAAATGCTATTTAGCTAGCTCTCAGACGGTAAGTAGTACAAAAAAAACAACAATACAATTGTATAAGAACAGAAAGACGGAGACAACAGGCAATGTGCAAAACAACAACAGGTAACAGGTAATGTGCAAAACAACATCAGATGTGCAAAATCATACATCAACAATGAAATAAAGGATAGAATATTTTGAGGAGTGAGCTTCTTGACATGTGAGGTAAAGGTAGATTTCAATGTGTGTTTAAGTATTGATAAAGAGAGAAGGCACTGTGAGGGTTCAGATCGTAGGTGAGAGAGGCTGGGAGTTTAAGAGGTTCAACTAAACAACAGGGGGTCAAACTGAAACTCTTCTTTTAGGGGACAGGGCTTTCCGAGATTGAATAGGCAGTGTGATACCGTGTTTCAGATCTAGGAAAGAGGGCACTACGCAGAGCTCTGCGTCTGACCCCAGCTCTTCAGCTGGAGGCACCAAAACCCAAGTTCATTAAGAGGGACTTGTTCCTTATTCTAGCCCTGATAATGAGGCCCTGTCCCGAGCCAGGGGAGCAGGTAAAACACGTGTCTGGCTCTGGCCCATGGAAGTGATGATTCAGCCCCGTTGCCACAGCTGGCTTCCCCTAATAGACTCTCTTCCACATGCGCTGGCGTTTCAGAAAAGTTCAGTCTCGCCATCTTCCTCTACTTTTGTCAAGCTTTTTTTTTATCTTTTCAAGGATTTTCACTCTTGGATGCTTAGATTTTTTTTCTTGCTTGAGTTAATACTTTCTGGAAAGAGTGGAGGGGGAGGAGCGAGAGGAAAGAAGAGCACAAGAAGGTCTTTATTCTTTCAAAGGAAAGGGCAGCGAGAGGTGCTGGCTAGCCCTGTGGCGCAAGGCGGGTAGCACCCACCACCCTGTCCATCACAGACAGGAATGTGCTCAGTTCTCCAAGGCCAGGTGCAGGCTGAGGATGGAAAACCCTCACAATTGGCACTTTTGTTGGCCGTTGGCTGTTTTCAGGGCTGAGTGTGGGAACATAGACAGCCAGCCTCCTTTTCTGATTGGGCAGCCCCTCCTACCAACCTCCGAGGTGATTGGCTGATGGGGTGGCACAATGTGAGCCTGTCTGTGCCCCACTGGGCATCTCTGTCGCTGTCGTGGCCTGTCCCAGAACACAGAGGAACTTCAGTCTGCTGCGTCGCTAGGCGGCTCTTTTCCAGTTCACCACTGAAAAGCTCTGCTCTCCTTTCCTATAGGCTGCTACGCAGTTCAAGAACAGCCTGACCAAGTTGATGGAAATTCTGATGTCCAAGGAGCCTTCCTACATTCGCTGCATTAAGCCCAACGATGCCAAACAAGCAGGTAACTCTTGCTCTTATCCTGGATGAGCAATATGTACTTGTGTGTCTGTGTGGGATGAGCTGGAAAAACGCTCCTGGACTCAGACATCATTCTGCATGTGTTCTCTCAGCCTCAGGCTTGAAGGGAACTCCCTGTTTGGGTATTCACAGACTTCTGCATTGTCTGCTTCATGATCATCTGTGTGAGGGCAATGTGCGTTTTAGGTTTCAGGGGTGATTTTTCTTGAGGTATTTTGCAAGTCAGTACAGATTATTTCCAGGGGATGGTGGCCATACCTGGGGCTAGTGTGTGAGGACCTGTTTAGTCCATGATCTGGATTAAAAATGAAATCTGACCTGTTTTTCAGCTTTGCTAGTTTGAGGATATTTTGGTGGGTGTTTTAACTGATTTTCCTCAGTAGGCAAACGGATTTCTCTCTCCAGTTTGTCGTCTGTTTGCCTCACCTTCCACTACTTTTCTCCCTTCACCCCCCCCCCCTCCCCCCTCCAGGCCGGTTCGACGAGGTTCTGATCCGACACCAGGTGAAGTATCTGGGTCTGATGGAGAACCTGCGTGTGCGGCGAGCTGGCTTTGCCTACCGGCGCAAGTACGAGGTCTTCCTGCAGAGGTGAGCTGGGGCATCCTGGTTGTTTTCATGTTGTTGTTGAAAAACGAACAGCGGGAGTCCAGGTGAGGAATGGAGAGCAGCTCCTACGTCTCCCCAGCCGGCTGGTGGCAGACCCAGCTGCACAAAAGCCCTGCTGTGGCGACACACAGGGCGCTCTTTGTCGCTGGTGACCCTTGAAATAGTTTCAGTGACAGCTGGATGCTGCGAATGTTTGTTCTCTCTTTGTGTTTGAAGCGGCTCTTTTCTTTGGCCGCCCTCCGAGCTGCAGAATGTGTGGTGTTGCAACTCTTCACTGTTTATTGATGGAGATGGAAAAGGCGCAAAAATGTCAACAAGTATTTTCAGAGGCTACAGAACATTCCATGCTCTCGTATAAAGGGAGCTATTAATAAATAATACTTTGCATAGCAGACATCTTTCATGGTCACAATGTTCAGAGTGTTTGCAATATGTAAAGGGATGACATTGAATGCAAGCACAATAGTGTTACAACTATTTACAACTTTGTGCAGACCAGCTATCTCCAGTGTACACAGACATTTTTAAATCTCTCTCTGTCCCTGTCAATTGTACCAGAGTGCTTTAAGAAAACCACAATTATGCCACTGCCCAAGAAGACCAAGGTATCTTGCTTGAATGAGTACCGCCCAGTTCTCTCACTTCAGTATTGTCCTATATAAAGTGCTCTAGCCCAGACTCCCTTGACCCACTTCAGTTTGCTTACCGCCCGAATAGGAACCACTGCATACTGCCCTTGAATATTTAGACTGACAGGGCACCTATGTTAGGATGCTGTTTATAGATTACAGCTCGGCCTTCAACACAATTGTTCCTGCCAAGCTGGTCCCAAAACTCAGGAATCTGGGTTTATGCAAATCTGTCTGCAACTGGATACTGGATTTCCTGATGGGCAGACCTCAGGTGGTGAAAATTGGCAACAATATCTCCTCTACAGCGATCCTAAACACTGGAGCCCCACAGGGCTGCTGTCTCAGTCCTAGGCTATACTCCTTGTACGACAGGACAGCCACTTACAGCAGCAACCACATCATTACGTTTGCAGATGACACGACCATTATTGGGCTGATCAACAACAAAGATGAGTCTGCATATAGGAGTGAGGTGGAGCATCTTACAATCTGGCCCTGAATGTCAACAAGACAAAATAAAACTCATTGTGGACTTCAGGACACCCAGAGGGAGTCACACCCCAATCAGCATCAATGGCACAGCAGTGAAAACTGTCAGCTGCTTCAGGTTCCTTGGTCTGCAGATCTCCACTGACCTGGCTTGGAGTCACAGCACTGTAGCCAGTCTGAAAAAGCCACAACAGTGCCTGCACTTTCTGTGGCGCTTAAAGCAATACAGTTTGGGGAAGCAGTTCCTCATGAACTTTTACCACAACACCATAGAACGTGTCCTCACTATGTGGTACAGCAAAACTGCCATGCATGAAAGAGACTACAAAGGATTGTGGCAACAGCACAGAGGATTACAGGTGGTGCTTTACCATCAATGGTGAGATCCACACCATCCACTGTCGCCATAAAGCCCAATCCATCCTTCAGGACCCCAACCATCCCGGCCACAAACTGTTCTCCCCCTGCCCTCTGGCATTGCACTGTTAAAGCACAGACCACTAGACTCAAGAACAGCTTCTATCCCACTGCAGTGAGCATCCTCACCAGGCATGTTTTTTTTCTCTGTTTCACTACTACATATTTATTTATTTGTCCAGAATATATTTATGGTTCCTGTTGTCTACATTGTGCGGTGTTGTCTGTTGTACTGTGTATGTCCCGAGAGATCAGGGCGATGAAGAATTCCAATGAACGTCTACATATGGCAATAAACTACTCTACTCAAATCAATGCGCCATGCAGAACAAATACCAAAAAAAATGAAATCTTGAAAACTAAAGCAGGATCATTAACAGACACTGATACAGAGTAGCAGTGGAACCAGCCTTTGGGTGTGTGTCCCTTGTTTGCAGTGCATAAGAGCAGTTTGACAATCCTCAGAGCGTGAAAGCTGGTCAGGGGCTGAGTGGCTCTCATGTGGAATGGGCTCTAGAAGTGGGAGAACAGAAAGGGGTTTATGAATGGCCACAGAGCTCTGGAAGGGGTGGAGTTGGGAGGCAGTGCTGGCAGGAAGAGTTTCTACAGGCAGGTGGGAGAGTAGAAGAGCCTGACACAGCAGTTGTCGAGCAGTGGGTATGCTGCCCAAGGAGAAATGGCAGGAGTGTGCCAGAGAAGAGACAAAGAAACAGAATGACTTCTCCCTCTCCTGTGGGCTGGCCCACACTTGAGCAGGATGCCAGCTGAACACAGCTCTGTCTCATTGCCTTGCGGCTGTGGCCGAACATGATCATTTTCCAAGATATTTGCCGTCATGCAAGATTTTCTTAAGGTACACAGGTTTTAAAGAGATACGTAGCAACTAACAGCGCAGGTATGGAAAAATGTATTTTCCACTATTTTTAATTTCAGTAGTGTAATTGTTTTTGGCCTTTCTTAGAGAGCTTGGCACACTAGAACAAGTGAACCTGGGTGTTTTTATGGCACAGACTGGACAGTCAGTGCCCCGCTGATGTGCCTGCAGGTACAAGTCGCTGTGTCCAGAGACCTGGCCCAACTGGAATGGGAAGCTGGCAGACGGAGTGGCCACGCTGGTCAAGCACCTGGGATACAAGCCTGAGGAGTACAAGCTGGGCAGGTGAGCCTTGAAACTCTTGGCCCTGGAAGAGTAAAAGATAAGATAAGATCACTTTATTGGCCATATAGTTTTTTGCATTAGGAATTTCTCGGCTTTCTCTCCATGAGACACACAGACAGGGTCAGAACTTAGGGTCAGCCATTTATACAGTGACCCTGGAGCAGCTGGGGTGAAGGGCCTTGCTCAGGGGCCCAAGAGAGTAGGCTTCCTCTGCCGGCTGCGGGATTTGAACCGGTAACCTTCCAGCCACATGCACAGATCCTGAGCCACAGAGCCACCGGACCGGAGCGGGATCTGCGCCTGTGGTGGAAGGTGGAAGATCAAGGTTTTGGGGGAAGATGGAAATGTAGGAAAGTGTGACTTTCAGGTGCTGTCCAGCAGGAAGGACCGTATCGGGAATTCACCGCTTCCCATCTGCGTCCCCACAGATCTAAAATCTTCATCCGTTTCCCGAAGACGCTGTTTGCCACGGAAGATGCCTTGGAGGCAAGAAAACATGGCCTGGGTGAGTGTGATCAAAAGGAGGAGAAGGGGAGTCGGGAAGGAGCCAATTCCTGACAGCACCTTCAAAATGTTGGTAGAGAAATATTTCCCCCAAACCCTAGAAGAGTCTGGAAAAAGTTAGTGTCACTTTCATATCAAAGCTTTGGAGAATAGAAGGGTTATGAGCCAGGAGCCTCCCTGGGCTGGTGTAGATTAGACCTGTGTGACTCTCTCTCTTCCTCAGCCACCAAGCTCCAGGCCTCGTGGAGAGGATACCAGCAGAAAACCAAGTACCACAAGCTGAGGCAGTCCGGTAAGGGAATCGCCATCTTTTTCCCCAATGCCTGCCCTCATCCTTCGCCATTATGAATTTACAGATCCCACCTTTGTTTGAATATATTGTCGCTTAAACGTTTCTTGTCTGCACCCTGCAGTTTCTTATTCTGTTGCAAGTACTCAAATCACTTAACTCTAGGAATTGTTTGCAAGCTCTAGGGGCGACTGAAGGAGATCTGCAGGACTGCATTCCCCTGTGTCTTTGAATTAATTCCCCAAGAAGCTTTGCATCTTAGTTTTGGTTCTGTGGTGCTGAAACACTTCCACAGTTTAAAAAGGGATGTTCGCAGGCTCTATTGCAGACAACTGTTTTGCAGCAGCAGTAGTGCTCAAAATGCAGCAAAACAAGATATCAGACAGGGAGGTGTCGTCGGAGAGACGATGGGCCGGGGAGGGTACCAGTACTGTGTAGAGCTCCGTCTCATAGGGGACGCCGACTTTCAGGCTCAGCACTCAGGGATCGACCTGGTGCCTCTTTGCGAAGGCCACCTGGGCTATGGGTGCCGCAGGGCAGTGTGCCATCAGTGATGCCGTCTCTCTGTTGGCAGCGATTCTAATCCAGGCGTGGTGGCGAGGGGTCCTGGCCAGGAGGAGAGCCGCCCGAAGGAGATGGGCAGCCGACACCATTCGCAGGTACAGCGGCCCTGGTTCACCCTGAGCCGTCCTGAAGCCAGATCTGACAGCAGCACTGGCGCTGCTCTGATGATCGTATGCCATATGAGGGTACATGGTTTAGAACACCATAGGGCTGAACTAGTAAGAGACTTGTTTGTAGTCCAAAATGATGCCTTGAGTATAGATGTTGCTGGGATTCCTCTATCTGCAGTGCACTTTTATTGTGAGTGCACTCATTGTCATTACTCCTAGGTGCCCAAATGTCATGCCACACCTGTCTGATTAAGCCAATTAACTTCAGAACCACTCTTGATGTTACATGAGTAATGTCCTATGACCCTCAAACATACCAATAGGCTGTGAGGTGAATATTTGATCATCAGGTCCAATGGGTCGATCGGTTCCCCCTCTCTGAGTGCTCAGATGTCAGGGTTGTGGTCATCTTGCTGGACTCTCTCTCCCCAGGTTCATCAAGGGGTTCATTTACCGCCACGAGCCGCGGTGCCCGGAGAACGACTACTTCCTGGACTATGTGCGATACTCCTTCCTGATGAGCCTGAGGCGCAGCTTACCCAAGACCGTCCTGGACAAGAGCTGGCCCACCCCACCGCCTGCGCTGGCTGAGGTACCCCACGGCACCCCGAAAAATGAGCATAAGCTACCTCTTGTTTGAGCACAAACTGTATGAACTCCAGTTGTTTCTCAAGCCCAGAGATGACAATCAGTGCAAAATCCCTGGCCTCAAACTGGTGCCCACAATGTGTTTGTGCCTCCTGATCTGATCCCTGACTAGCGATGTTGAGGAGGTGATGGTTGGGTTGCTCTCCCATTGCTGCAGGCCTCGGAGCACCTGAGGAAGATGTGCATGCAGAACATGGTGTGGAGCTACTGCAAGAGGATCAATCCCGAGTGGAAAAACCAGGTGGGAACCTGGGCTGTCCTGGGCAGGGGCCAGTCGGACACTGGAGTCAGGCGGGGGCTGTCCTGGGGGGGGGTATTAGATTAGTCTGTTTGGGGTTCTTGTGCGTCATTTGAAAGCTGCATTACTGAAGTACGTTTCCAAGCTGGGAAAAGTCTCACATGACTCTGAGCTGCTCAGTGAATGATCCAGGATGCTGTGTGTTCCTTCTTTTGGTCTGTGCTGACAATCAGCTTGTGACTATTGACTGTTTTTCTTGATCTCTATCGCCCTATCCGTGTCTCCCCCAGCTGGAGCAGAAGGTGGTGGCCAGTGAGATCTTCAAGGACAAGAAAGATAACTACCCACAGAGCGTGCCCAAACTCTTTGTGAGCAGCCGCTTGAGTGAGTATTGCTGGGCTCCCGAAGGATCAGCCACTCAGAAAGAGCTCCGTTCCAAAACAAACCCGCACTAATCTCACAGCTGACATTATTCCAATCTGAACTGACCTTAACGGAAGCAAAGAGCTTTCCAAACAGAATACTGAAAGTGATTTTGCACAGAATCAGCGCTTAAAGAATTTTAGCAGGCACACTGCCAAATTAAACCCCATCTTCATTTTCTCTCCTATCATCTTTTTTCCTTCCACCTCTTACAGTGTGTTGTTATTCTGTTTGCCAGGCAGTGAAGAAATAAACCCCAAAGCTCTGCAGGCCCTGGGCAACGAGAAGATGAAGGTGAGTTTGTCAAACCACAGGGAGAAAAGAGACAGTCTCCCAACACTCTTTCAAACAGACCTCTGGAGTCGGGACTGGAGGGTCGTGGGTTCGAGTCAGTGGTAGGATGCTTTTCTCTGTCCGCATGGGTTGCAGGCCAACATTGTAAATGAGAAAAAATGTTTTGCATTTAAAACACGGTGGTATTGTTTATACAAGAAACCTTTTGTGTGTTTATACGAGATAACAAAACACGATAATTTCTGAATAATATCGCCTACAATGTTAATATCTTGCAATGTATATCCGATACAGACCATCATTGACTTTAACAACAGAAGAATAGTGACTCTTTGTGCAGAAGAGCTCATCTAAAGGAACACGTGTACTGTGTTTTGTATAGGTGAAGTAGAACACAGTGTCATTAATGATCACTTTTTACCACGTTATCTCATGTAAATGCCAAAAGTTTCTTCTTTAAACACAATACTTTGTCATATAAATGCAATAAAATTCTCTGTGTGCTACTAAGCTTCCACACAGAACCTTCTGTCAGTTCTGATCCGTTTCAAGGTTCCCAAGCGCACCCTGGTATTGGCCTCAGGGACAGACCTTGCCTGACCGGCTCGGCACTCCAGACCCTATGTCTCTCTCTCTGGCAGTACGGAGTCCCAGTGACCAAGTACGACCGCAAGGGCTACAAGGCTCGAGCAAGGCAGCTGCTCCTGACGCAGAGCTGCGCCTTCATCGTGGAGGAGGCCCGAGTGAAGCAGAGGATTGACTACAGCTTGCTGAAGGGTAGGACTCGGGCCTTCGCGGAAATCGTGCGTGTCCCGTTTAAGGACTGGTCCCAGTCCTCCTGTCTGCTCCTGTCCCTCGCACACGTCTAGAACCAGGGGATTCCTGATCTCTTCCCTGCCCTGAAGGGGATTTTGGTCACGCTAGGGCTGCAGGTTAGGTTTGGGGACAGAGTGGGGGGGGGGGTGGTTCTTGCAGGAGGGTGAACAAGTGTCCTCATGCCCCCTTGCAGCACAGGGTGTGAAGCTGTGCCCCAAGCATAACAGCTGGAAATTGCAAACTGCAGAGCAATTTTGCAGAAGAGGGAACAGGTAATAAAGGTTTATTCTATGCTGAAAGGAAAAGAAGAAAATTTTGGCTGTGACACCTGCTGACACCTAGTGGTGAACGGCAACAAGTCTACTGGTGCAGCTCAAAGAGCTTGAATTCAGCAGAATTGTCCAATTATTTACAGTGATTTTAATTTCTTCAGCTGTCTATCTATGTATCAGGTAATCCAAATATACTAAGTGATATTTTCACAGAAGAGAAGCAACAAATTGTATCTCAGTTACCCTTAAACTTAATTCCCTGTTTTGAAGTGTGTTCACTATGTCCTCTGTGTTCAGCTGCAGTCCTGTGCTGTCAAATCCTGCACTTAACCCTGAAAAAACAGCCGAAACATTGTCTCTTTTCCTGTCAGTGGGGAATAAAGCTGTCCCTGTTCCTGTGCAGCCTGTGCAAGCTGACGCAGCGCCCTGCTTGAACCTCTTCAATACAGTAGAATATGCTGCTGAGGTCTGGGGAGCAGGAACACTCGGACAAGATGGGGTTCAAAAGTGAAAACTCTTGCCTATGTTGGTGTGGGTAGGGGGGGGGGTCTTCCACTCAATTTATAGAGGTTTCTCCACCTTCCTGCTATTCTCACCCCTCTGTGACCTTCCACCTGCAGGAATCTCTGTCAGCTCCCTGAGCGACGGGCTCTTCGTGCTCCATGTGCCCTGTGAGGACAACAAGCAGAAGGTAAGGAGGCAGCTTGGACTTTGTGGTATAAAGGGCGGTTACTCCATCATTGGCCTTGACCTTTGACATCTGACCCTGTTCTCCTGGCCCTGGTTGTGCAGGGAGATGTCGTGCTTCAGAGCGATCATGTGGTTGAGACCCTGACCAAAGTGGCCATGAGTGCAGACAAAGTGAACAACATCAACATCAACCAAGGAAGGTGAGAGAAATCTGTCCGACCTTTACTTGTGATGAAATGCATTTAAAAATGTCTATTCCACACACACAGGCTAAAATAAATTAATAAAAAATGGCTTACACTTATATAGTGCTTTTCTGGACACTCAAAGCCCTTTACAGATAATGGGGATCCCCTTCACCACCACCAGTGTGCAGCCCCACCTGGTGGATCAAACTGAAATAAAAATGTTCGATGTATATTAAATTAAGCGCATGTAACGTAGTATAGTCCGGGGGTGATCCAGTAAAGGCCTGAGCATGGTGGTCGAGCCGGAGTCACGTCACTCTGGCTATGTCAGAGTATAATTGTGCGCTGAGGGACAGGGTGGCAGTGGTCTGCCAGGGTCCTGGGCTCTCGGACACAGGGTGCCCAGCAGCTCCAAGGAGCCAGCAGGCATGCAGTGCAATCAGTGAGGGCAGGGCTGGAGAGAGTGAGAAGTGAAATTAATTGTACAGAGGAAGTGAAATTGGAATTATACTTAAAACTGTACAAGCTGTACTATTTATTAATCTCCATATTATTTTTGCACTGTTCGCCGTATTACCTTTGCGCTATTTATGTCCTGTTTGTATACTTTTCTCTCTTTGCGTATTTCCACTGGCACCATACTGTTGTTCACACTGTTATTGTTATTGCATTACTGTCTATTGTCTTGTCTGCTGTTGAGAAGCACTTTTCACTATGCCGTGCACCCGTGTAATTATAACGAGAAATAAAGTTGAAGTGAAAGTGGGAGAGGCAGCACGAGAGGGTAAGGCTGTAACTTTCCTCTCTGCTCCACAGTATCAAGTTCACGGTGGGCCAGGGGAAGGAGGGCATCATCGACTTCACCTCCGGCTCAGAGCTGCTCATTGCCAAGGCCAAGAACGGGCACCTGTCTGTGGTGAGAGAGGGGGCCCAGCTGGGGGGTGGGAGGGGAGTGGGCCTGCTCACTGCACAGCATAGACGCGAGACACCCACTTTTCAAGTGCAGCGAACACCTTGGAGATTATAGGAGAGTTACTACAGTGTGAAGATCAGTAGTTGCTCAATTAAAGAAACAGGAAATGACTGTGGTGTCTCGGTTTTGTGTTGTCACGCTTGGCTCCATGCTGGCACCTAGTGGTGATGCAGAAAACGGCAACAAGTACTGGTGCAGCTCACCAGGATTGTCCAATTATTTTTCAGGGATTTTAAGATTTGAATGTCTTATGCTCTGGTGAACCTGTCTTTTTGTGTATTAGCATATGGGGATTACCTAAGTGATATTTTCAGAGAGAAGCAACAAATTGAATCTCAATTACCCTTAAACCTCATTCCCTGTTTTGAAGTGTTCAGTACGTCCTCTTTGTTCAGCTGCAGTCTTGAAGTGTGCTGCCAAATGACGTGCTTAACTCTGTTGTGTCTTGAGTAAAACTGAACAAGTTTGTCTTGTTGAGTGTCTGCTTCTAAATCCTCTGCAGTGATCAAGGTCAGCCTGGAGGACTGACTCTCAGGTCTCCTTATATGAATTCACAGTAGTTGCTGCAAATGACTGGTTCCCATTCCCCTGGCAGGGCCATCAGTTCACTTCAGTGTTTATTTTGCTTTGAGAACATCAAATTGCACAGAAATGTCTTTTTTCAGCCACATCAGAATACACATAAAATCCTGAATGCATTGAATGGCCAGATGAATAAACAAGGTGACACCACGGTGCTGTGTTCCTGTGTCTGAGCTCATTGTGATTTAAATTGCTGTTTTTAGACTGCTCCTCGGCTCAACTCCAGATGATGACTGGGATCGACCAATCGAAAGAGGCAGCAATAAAGAAAAAAGGATACCTACCAGAACCCATCCTCCAATTAGATTACAGCTGTCACAGCCAGCTCTGCCACTCATTGGCTGAAAATGCTAGTGATTTCTCCGCCTTACCCAATCAGATCTATTTTTGCTTCTTTACCAGCACCAAAGGCTTGTGCTTCCAAATATGACAAAAATGTAAAATGTTTTATTTTTTTTAATTAATATTATTATTATTATCATTACTATAATTATTGCTTCATATTAGAAATACACTAAAAACCAAACCAAGGTGTGATCGTCAATGAAACCTCACACTACACAGGCTTGATGCAAGTCTAAAGAAAGAGGACAGATGTTAAAGGTGCACCTGTCTCTCGATCGGATCGTCAGATCAGCCCCTTCCCACAGGAGCAGGAGAAATGCACCTGCCATCAGCCCTGCAGCCAATCAGACTCTTTTTAAAGGACCTTCAGTACTTGATTAGCGGTGATCTTGATCAGATGGAAATAAACATGGGCAGGCAGCATGTGCAGGAGCTGGAGTCGGATTTGCTTCTTCTGTGGCTCTGCCCCTGTATTACTCCTGTGCGTGTCGCCGTCAAAGAGCTGTGGACTCAGATCTGGGTCGTGTCCCGCCAAGGACTGTCCACAGGTCCAGGGATGAGGAACTGGACACGCTGAAGGCAGACCCTCCTCATCCCTCTTGGGGAAATTCTGTTCCTTGGTCTTCTGTCCCCCCAAAAAAACACTGTCAGAGAGACCAGCGCACCTGGACTGGGGTTCCCACCTCCTCCAAGGGGGTGAATCCTTCGGAGTCTGGACATGGACAAAAGCCTCGTTTTTATGTTTAACCCCAACTCCTACAGAGTCCAGTCCAGTCTAATCCAGCCCACTAGCTGTGCTATACATCATTCTATTACTCATTATTCACTCATTTCTCACAGCCACAGAATACTGTAACATGCAATTATATACCATTATTAATCCTGCTGAACACAGCAGCATGATGTATATCATGGCACTGTCTGCTGGTGGTGGTAGTTCAGGAATATGAATCCTCTGTGATCATAAGTCAGAGTGTGCTTGGACAGACCTGCTTGGATTTAGCTTTATGTGGGTAAGAAGCTCAATGAAAGTACATTTGTCTGGTTACCAAAGCCCATCTCCACACCTGCTGGCTCCTCAGAGTGCTGAATGCTGAGGACTTTTTGGATAGCTGGCATGTTTAGTCTTGCCAGCCCATATTTAGGGTTCTTCATTGTTAGCCAATAATAATCTCCATCTGTCTGTCCATGTGTGAGAAACACAAGCTTGGTGTTTCTTTGATGCAGAATATATGTTCTGTGATTGTAATATCATTGCCCCAGATTACTATTGTGCCTTGCCCAGAGAGAGACATGCTTCTTCTCGAGATTTTTAAAATCATTTTAGTTAGGTTTCTGTGTGCGAATGCAGTGTCGTTCTGCGTCCCTCAGGTGTCAAAGAGATGAGAGAGCTGGAGAATCAAGTAGACAGACCCTCCCCCCACTCAGGCCACCCAGGATGTCGCTCATCATATAAGCAAAGCCAAAATTTTACCAAGTAGCATCCAGTTTTACTAAAAGATTTTAATAAAAGATTTTTAATGCCTTTAATAATTTTTATTCTTTCATTGCAATATTCTGCCCTTGAGGCTGTTAAAAAATAAACTCGTTTAGCCTCTTCTCCTTTCATACTTCCCCTCTTGTCCAGACCTTGGTGTCTGCCTGTAGATCAGAGACTCTCAGGGGTTGAGCCTCCATGGTCAGATTATTTTAGGGAGTTAAATACCATTTTTGCTTAACTATCCCAGTATCCATCTGCGAAATCCAGGATTGTGGGAGTAACGTGGTCTGGATAGAACAGAAATGCTACTGCTTTATAGAATGAACTTGTGGAATGGACAACACACTGGTGTCAAAACTATTTTAAATCCTTAATCTTTACTGGTAAGATTAGTGTATTAATACAATGAATTATATTTACAATGGGAGAAACATGGCTTTATCAACTCCCCAGTTCAAAAGCAAATGCACTTGATTTCGAATGATTAAAGAACTCAGGTAATATGGCTGTATGTCTGGCAGTTCAGTACTGGTCAGTGCTGTTTGGACACACTCGGTATGTCTGGCAGTTGAGTACTGATCAATGTTGTATGTGGCTGAAATTCTGCAGACATTTACTGGGATACAGGGTGTTCAGTAAGAGACCAATGGAAAGTGAGGCAATCAAAATGGATCCACTGCCCCTGTTACAAACCTGTTTGGGACAGCAGGGTGTTGTAGGAGACAGCTGACCAGAGAGGAACAACTTCTGAGCGTTTTCATTTTTTTCTAACGTCTTTTTGTTTTTGGTTTTATCTAAAAACATTGTTAAATGCACTGTTTTTCCAAGTAACACATCTGTGTGCTTCACAAAAGATTTTTTCAGTAATGTTTCTTATTTTTCATTAATCATATTAAAAATGAAAAAAAAAACAGTACAGTTGGAAATCTGTTTTAATACTTTGATTGTAAAAGGGAGTGAAATGATGATTTATAAACCATAGGATAAATAGAAATTATTAAAAAAGCCATAGAAGATTTGGGTAAATATATGTAAATAATGACTTTAGTCTTTAAATAGCCTTTTTAATATGTGCAATATCAATGTAATTGGTTGGACATTTAATTTTTTGGCACAGTTTGATTTCTTGCAGAAGGTCATGAAGGTGGATAATGTGTTCTTAATGCTTCCAGTTTGCGTTATTGCTATCTTTGTATGAAGAAGCTTCAAAAATAAATGTTCTTGTTGGCCACCTCCTGCTCCTCTGCGCTGTGGCAGTGCTGCTCTCTGAAAGGCAGCATTCCTGGTTTCCGTGACAATCGCTCAGGGGTGGGAAATTGGGCAGCTGCTTTTTCATATGCTTTTGGGATTGGGGTGCAGGAACACAAGTTTAGTTTTAGTCACCCAGGCTGAAGAATTCCAAGTTTCAAAAACCTGGTACATGTGATCATCTCATTAGCTCATTGTACGTTTCATTTTCAACATGACCAGCTCCTGTCCCTTCCTACTCTAATTGCAAGACACCCTAGCTGACCAGCCCCTTCACCCTGATCACAGACAACAGTGTCCACCTTGTTGACCAGCCCCTTCACCCTGATCGCAGACTGCAGTGTCCACCTTGCTGACCAGCACCTGCCCCCCGACCCTGATCACGGACAGCAGTGTCTATACTTGCTGAAAATCATGTGTCTGGTGAATACCGGTGAATGACGCATCACGGCGCATGCAGGTAACTATTGCATTGTGTGATCTAATCAGCGTGATTGTATTTCACTGGGAAAGGCTCAGGACTGGGGCACAGGGTTGTCTGAAAGAAAGCAGCCGTTAGTAACTTGCAGTTGCCTAGTTATACGATGATTTGGGATCTGGATTAAAACGGCTCTTTTTAAATTTACACAGGCTTTTTCTTGTCAGTACAGTAATTATGACCTCCTAATTCAAGGGTCTGGGAGTTCCTGGAAGCTGCAGGGTCTGTACAGTTCTGTACCAGTCCAGTCCAGCTCTGATACATGCTGGATGTTTTTAACTGGACAATGGCAACACTTCTACCATGTTCTGAGCAGTTGTATCCATAACCTTCCCTTTATATGAAGTGAATGTTTTGGGTGCTTAACTGTTAAAGACCTTAAGAAACATTCTGTATAAATAACAAAGGACCACTTACTTTGCTGGTCTGGCTGTTGAAATTTCAGAAGATGCTTGGTGTACCAGGAGCAGAGACTGAGCCCCTGAGACTGTCCTAGTTCTTTCCAATGTCTTCGTTTGTTGTGGTTCAGATTGGTCAAGTTGACCTTCTGGGGTTCCTTACATCTGAGCTCTGAGTTATGGAATCAAACTACATAACAGTTTTAATTGACTAAAACTGCTGTCTTTCTCCAAGACCTACCAGGAAGGGTCTGGAAGACCTGAGGAGACCAGCGTGTTCTAGAGACAAAGTTTGAGTCTTGCTAAGGCTGGAGTAAGTCCATACAGGTGCTGACTGGGGCCTGGTGCCACGACATTTGCTTGTACCCTCTGAATGGTGGTTGGGTCAAGGAGTTGAGAAATTCAGCCTCACAGTTTCACTTTTAATGACAACGAGAGTTCGACCCTGTACTTGTGTCAAAACACAGCTGGGAGCTCTGTGCACCTGATTCCTGGAAACTTGGAACATCACAAGCTGGGGTTCCTAGGAGTTACTCCACAAAGCTTTTCCTGCACACCGTCGTGTCAAAAGCTCAAGTCATGCCTCAGTCACATCAGCCTCCAGTTAGGTTCGGTGGCCAATCATTGAAGCGCACAGGCAACCTGACTTGTTTAACACTTTCCCAGGGTGCATAGCATCAAAGC